AATTAAAGATGTCATTGCTTACATCATTTAATTAATGATGTCATTGCTTACATCAATTTAGTTAGGTGAGAGTTAGATATTTGTTGAATTTGTAATGGTTTAAATTAGTTTATTTGTGTGGTGTAGGATTGTTCTTGAGTAGTATAAATACCCCTTCCCATTTTAGTTTTAAGCATCAAGAAAAATCAATAGCTTCTAAGTGAGTGAAGAAGCAAAGTCTTATAAGAGTGAGTTGTAGTTCTTGTTTTTGAGTGAGAGTGTTCTTGTAATATTTCTTTGAGCTTCAATAAAAGTTGCTTGTGTGAGCGTTTTATTTCCAACACAAACCTCCATCACTAACAGGTATGACTATGAAGTGTCTGATACAAAGAGTTAACATAATTTATTGACCATATCAGGATTGTCCCAGATTACACCAACTCATGGGACAGCTAGGACTGCAAATTTCTGGTTTTTTTCTTCATCTAACCCTATTATTATGCTGCTTGGTATCAATCATTTACCAAACTTTGTCATTACTAATGAATTGAAAAACAGTAAAAAGCTAAAACGTACGTCAAGTCAATAATACATTTAGCCAAGGTTATTTATTACGATAAAAATATTGAACAATGTCGATAGAAACAAGATAATTTAATGGCCGATAGACATAGTCGCATGGTGCTGTCGTTTCTCTGGTAATTAAGGTTTTTGCAAAGCTCTTTCAGAGCTGTCTGAATCCGTAATATCCTTCAGGAAACATCATCGATCACCCCACAAAAACATTAACACATCCCAGAAACTGGTTTTTCTCTACCCGTTTTGTACTGCAAAAAAATTCTTTTTTTTTTTTTCTGGATAAGTTAAAATTTTCAATCTTATTACCAAAAGACAATGTCTACCGTACAAGAATATGATTATTTTTGGATAAACTACACTTGTGGTCACTTTTATTTTAGTTTTTTTTTATTTTGACCACTTAACTTTGGGTAATATTAATTGTAATGGGTTCATGTTAGGTGCCTCGTTTTGCCATTGGTGAACAAAGGAAGACTTTGATGCTGCAACTACTGGACCTAGGCCGCTCTCTATATGCATTTCATACGTATACTGATCGATTACTTTCTCGGGAGCTGTATTCAGTACTTCTTTCATATATACATATATATACAGATAGTAATTATTTGTAATTGGTCCAATATATGCAGATTTAAACAAAGTTTGAGATCTCTCAACTTAGATAGTAATATATATATATATATATATATATACACTATTTTGATGTGAGAAATTGAATGTTAAACATTTGTTTACTATCAGTAAACTTATTGTCGAGGTCACAATATTAGAGAATGTGTTGTAACTCACTCTTTTTTATATGTACGGAGAATTATGGATTAAAGTGATCAATGGAGTTAAAATTTATTGCATATAGATTTTATGATCAAAGTGGGGAGAAGGAAGAAAGAAGAGAGAAAGAAAGAATTGTATTCTTGGGCATTCTCTGTCTATCCTTGAGAAGGGTGAGAAGCATTTTATATACTTGGTGTCCTTTGTACCACTTGATTTTAGTGGATTGACGGACTGTTGAAAATAAAATTTATTGGTAGGTCGATTAAATTCATTGTGAGACCTATCGTATTAATTTATGTTCATAAACTCTACTCTATCATCAAAGGTCATAATATGAGGGATATGGAGAGACTACAATTACAGAGCCAAAAGGTGCGTTAGGTATAAGTGTCTCGTTATTCCATTATCATATTTTATGGGATCTTTGAATCCGTTGTGATTCTGTCAATGGATCGATGTAACACTTACATAATAATTTTTTTTCATGAAATTTACGTGATTATCTTGATTTATGATTTATTATTATAATAATTAAAAAAAAGAATGGAGCTACGTCTTTATTTAATCCAATCCGTTTTATAAACAAGTATGAGTATGACTCTATCATGAAAAGGATAAATTAGGTTAAAGTGGTTGAATGGTAGGAAGATCATGGATCTCTAGAAACACAATCTGAGGAGTATGATGTTAAAGTTGGTGGTGGTGTAAGGTGGTTCCATGGCAGATGCAAGTAGTACGGGGGGTCGCATGCCCCTATTCCCCCAGATATGTGGCCAAGAATTCATATTCCAAATTAGTCTAATCAAATTTTGTGTACGGATATATATTGCATGCATGTAGAAATTATTCATCAATTCTCGGAGAAAACTAGCTACATCTAACTATTAATTGCTAGTGTTTTGGGTCCAATTTTCCAATCAATTACAGCTCACTTGTGTACGTACATTTTCAACTTCTTTTGAGACCACACACTGTTCACATAATCATGGGCGAAGCTCATTTTTTTCTTCTAAAGATTAAATTTTGATCCTTCAACTTCTTTTGTTGTACCAGCTGGTGTTTAGCTCCTCGTGTTCCTTTGTTTTGTATCATCTTCACTTTTGTGGCTTGGTTGAGGTGTTGTCAATGGGTGGTGTGGCTCTACGGTCTCCTGTAAAATGTATTGTTGTTATATGATAATTCTATTTTGGGCACATTTTTTTCTTCATTTAGGTCTAGGGAAATTTATTAACAAAGCCCCGATCGTGTGTTTAGTCTAGGGAGGTTTTTTAACAAAGCTCCGATCGTGTCTTTTGTATGTGAACCCTTAATAACATACAAAGCTTTCCCTGTTCAATTTTTTTTTATTCTTCATTTTCCCATGGCCTTCAAAAAGAGATTAATATTTTAACGAATTATAACAACACATAATAGAATGATCGAAATGGAATAAATTGATAGTTTGAAAATTATATAAAATGATTTAAAATTTAGGAACTAATCTAAAATGAGGGTTATAATTTGAGGACCTCTTGTTTGATTATCTCTAAAATGCAAATAATGCATGAACTAGTGTTGTTGAGCAATGGGTTTTTATATTTAACTTTGAAATAGACAATTTGAATTTCTTACCAGGGATTGGATAATAATGTCTGCGGAGGATTTTGAAGTTTGATGCAATTTGTCTAAACCAACATTAATTTTTAATGTCTGAATTAATTAAATTATCCTAATAGTTAGGTAGAATTTTTAAATTCTCTTATATCTTATATTTTTTCTATATATTTTTATCGATAATTTATTCTCACCCCTAAAATTTTATAAATTCGTGTCCCTCTAAAATTGTATAAACCTCTTTTAACACGAAACTATGCTTCTCACTGCTCTTAATGGCAAATGCTAGCTTGGCGTTACACTTGTGGTTCATTCAATCCAACACATACGGCTCAGAACTTTAGAATTTAATGAAGGGATAGTACATTCTAATTTATGCGTGCCAAATTCTAGTTGGAACGGAATTTTTATAACACGAATTAGATCACACAACTCATTTTATATATGTAAAAATTTATATTTATGTATTTAAGATTAAAAATATCAAAGAAATGAAATACTTAACGATTCCCAGAGAAGAAGGGTTAGAGTCGGCGATTCCATGTGAGAAATGGACCCTCTTGATTTGCAAAAGAGAAGTCATTTTTAATATGTGGGAGCATCTTCATTTAATTTAACCAAATAATGTATAAATCCACTATTTTATTTTATTAGTTTGGAAATGGTAACACGTTGCAGCCAAGGTCGTAAGTAGCCTTGGACCCAACATGATGCAATCTCACTCATCCTTGATGCCATGACCCAAGTGTTGGAAATCAACTTAATTACCACTAAAACCATGCACCATTTTAGATACAAACGATCAGGATTTTACATTAGAAAATATTATCTAAACGAATTTATAAAATTTTAGATGATAAAGATAAATTATCAACAGAAAATATAAAAAAAATATCTAAAATATATGATAATTTAAAATATACAAAAAAATATCTAAAATATCTTAGTAAACAATCCACTGAATTGTTTTAATATGTTAAATATAAAAATCGATTTTTATTCTTAAATTGAGTATAGACAATGATAGAATCAATAAATCTAAATTACGGCAATATAATTTAAAAAATATTTTTTAAATGAAACAGAGAAAAATTATGAGTATCAATTTTTTTTAAAAAAATGTCAATTATTTTTAAATGATGTTAATATTATTTTTTAAAGTAATACTAATTTTTTAAATATTTTTATATATGAAATTAAAGAAAAAAAAACAAATGACACCCCTTGACAAAGGGTAGCTCCGCCCTTAGTCATCGGACCCATTGAAGATATGAGTTTGAGGCTCCCCAACACTGCTTCCTACTGGTGACCCCAATTGAACAAAGGCCTCAAGTTGATATTATAAACACAGTTTAGAATCAATCATCAATGGCAATATATATATATATATATATATTGTAATGCAATAAAAAATCATAAAATATTATCTGACAGTACTATAAACCCTGGAATTGGCTACATCACACTATATATATAATCCTATTCTACCAAACATTCAAGGGGGAGACTTGTTATAGAGACCAAAATGTGAAAATGGAGATAAAAAAGAAAAAATCATTGATGGGGTGATGATTGATGAAGAAGGAGATAAGGGGATAAATGAACAGTTGAAGCGTGAAAGTGGTAAAGATTTAAGTCAAAAAAATAATGTCGGTTACTCTATAAAGTCGAATAGTAAATAATTTGGTATCTCTGTTTTTATTAATATAAGATAATTATAAAGAGTATTTGTTTAAAAAAAATCAATCATTTGATAATAAATAATTCATCTTTTTTACAGACAACTTATTCCAATCTAAAATATCTAAGAATATCTCTTAAATAAGTTTTAAATTCAAATTTTATAAATGAATATGATTTAATAATAAATATAATGTGATGATCGTATCAAAATTAAAATATTTTTTTATGAAATGACAATTAATGGGGCTTGAGTGGTTCTAGAGAAGGGTAACCCCAATTGAACCATGGGGTTGTAGGGTATGCGACCCATTCCGATTGTGGGTCATCTCCCTCGATACTTATAAGTGTTGTAATGAGTCATTGGGAAATGATGGGTTTTCATTAAGGAAAAATAGCTAATACCTATTCTCTTAGTCTTCCCTTGGTGTTTAATTTTTCTCTTTCAGAAGCTCGTACTCTCTTCATTCAATTCCATTCCCTCAACATTTCCCTTTGCATAGTGAGAAAAAAAAATTAAAGAAGAAAGCCTGAAATGGCTGAGCTGCAACATTCAGAGACAAAGAGCAGCTCGAATTCAAGCTCGTCGCCGCCGTTATCGCCGTCATCACCGAGGTTGACTCACTCGACTCCTAACTCGACCGAGTCCGTATACCATATGGGTTTGGATGGTAATAAAAAGATGAAGAGAATGAGGGAGTCGAACAAGCACACCGTTTACCGCGGTGTCCGAATGCGGAACTGGGGAAAATGGGTGTCCGAAATCCGGGAGCCACGTAAAAAATCCCGCATTTGGCTCGGCACTTTCCCTACACCGGAAATGGCAGCTCGAGCGCATGACGTAGCCGCTTTAAGCATCAAGGGCAACTTGGCTATACTCAACTTCCCCGAACTCGTAGACGAGTTACCTCGGCCTGTATCTTTAGCACCACGCGACGTCCAAGCCGCGGCGGCCAAAGCTGCTCACATGAACAAATTCGACTCCCAATCACCATCACAATCTTCCACTTCCACATCCACTTCAACACTGTCATCTTCGTCGTCGGTATCGTCTCTGGTTTCTCAGATTGACTTATCTTCAGGGTCAGAGTTAAGCGAGATAGTCGAGTTGCCTATCCTCGGGACGAGTTACGATTCAGTCGAGCCGAAGAACGAGTTCGTTTTCATGGACTCAGTGGATGGTTGGTTTTACCCTCCACCATTGCTGCAAAATATGGAAGACTGTGGGTATGTTTGTGATCAATTACTACAGCCAGAAAGCATTTTACAAAAATGGTTTTGAACGAGGTTTGCTATGGGAATAATTAGTGTTTTTGGTTGTGATTTGTGAGTGCGATGTTTCTTCTGGTTTTGAGCCTTTTTGCTTTTTCTTTCAAGGGCTAAACCTCTCTCTCTTTCTCTATGGATCCATCACTGTACAGTGTTAAGAATAGGAAGAAGAAGATGAAAATCTTCCCTTTTGCTTGTTGCAAAACACAAGTTTGAAATCCAACACTGGAAATTCTATCCTTCTTTTATTATATCGACCTGTTTTCTATTTCATGCACAAACAAAACTCAAACATAAAAAATCTTACTTAAAGAGTATCAAACAATTTTATCTCTTCTGCAACTGGGGAAAAATGGAAAAGTCCTGTTCATCTTCTTCATGTGATGATGAACAGTAGTGAAGATTGCTTCGGGCAGATGGCAGATGGTGAAATATACAGTGGGGAGAGAAAGTGACAATTTTCCCCATCAAGAGTAACAATATCTATCTACCCTTTATCTACTTTTTCAACTTTCCATAAATAATGCTCTCCATAACCATAACTTACCCCGCCTTCTTCATCTCGCTTTCACCATTTATGACATACTAAAAACACATTATGCCACCGATCATACTTCAGTTTAACGGTAAGGTTAAAGTTCTTAGCGTAATGATTTCCAAATCACAGTAAAGAACAGTAATAATTCCATAGCATGTTCCTTCTGGGAACCAAACTGCAAGTGCATGAAATCATATATTCTTGCTGCAGCAAAGGGGAAAAGCTCTACGTACATGGATGTCTACTTCATCCTAGTCATATCTAAGTTAGGCTCTCGTCAAATCTGCAATATATATAAGAAAACATCTGTAATCCAGCTACTGTTTTGATGTGAGAAAATACATTAAAATAACCCATCTTCTGTCTGCTGATTTCTGTAATCGTAAAGCCTCTTTCCTAAAGGGAAAGCATGCACAATCAGTGGATATTGTCTAGTAGCTGGAGATTTTAGGGTTTACGTTTTCAATGAATAATAATTCTCTTGGTATGATTGCAGAATCTAATCCAATTATGTAACTTTTTTTTTGTTAAGTCTTTCGAGAAATCCAAAAGCCTTCTCGCCTCTGTTAACTTGGACATGTTATTACTTCATCCACAATCGGTCGTAGTATAAATTTTCTCGCTTAATGGAGTCTTTAGAAACTTGTGTCGCTCGCACAAAGCTCAATTATAGTGTACAGATAAACTTTTTGAAAAGTTTATATGTTATCAGAGCAAAATCTAAAATCTTCAAATCTATTTAATTTGTCGGCCTACAAATAATTATAATAATTCTATGACTGTTGCACATTGAATGTCACTATAAACACTTTAAACCCGGTCAACCCTCCTTCATGATAACCGACTCTCTTTCTTTCAAATACCGGTCAACGATCGTTCTTTCATTGGCCACAGCTCTCCGCTTGAATTAGAAGGGATGAACTACAAACGACCGACGAGCCAAACTTGTTCCTATCAACACTTTTCATTTTCTAATTAAAGGATTTAGTGTCTAATTATGCTCAAATTTATAACTTAATCCTTGTATTTTAATTCTACATAATGACTTGTCCTTTCATTGGACCATATTGAATAAATTAGAATAATATTGAACAATCAATTTGCAAATAAATTTTGGGACAGTCAATACAGATTTGGCGTGATACTTAAAAGCCTTATTTTATATATTTCCTCCACATTATAATTACCCAATTCTTCTCTTTATATTCCATATTTATTAGTATGGAATTAATGTTGTACATCAGACAAAGATGCTTGCTATGAATATTGAGCCGATTTGTTGGACATTCCACACAAGCATATACAAGTACTGTTATAAATTTGAAGGGGAAAAATATCAGAAACGAAGTAAAAAAAAACTTCATTTATTATCATAATATTTATTATGATTATGTCGAAATACATGTGAATTTTTAATAAAAATAAAGAAAGACGTGTATTAAACAAGTAAACAGAGTATCATTAGTTAGTTGACTAATTTAGCAAAATTAGTTCTAAGAATAATAATCCAATATTTTGCACGTTAGTAGGAAAAGGTAAGGCTTTATATTAAAGACAAAACATACTTTATCAATGGTACATATGATCCCCCGTACCTCAAATGGGGTACATTATTTTATCAATAATTTCGAGCCTCTAGCTCATATATATATATATATTGTACGTGTATATATCTATCTATCATCACAAATTTTTTAAAAAAAAGGGGAAAAAAAACCCCCACCATGTTCATGGCAAGTTTTGTTCATTTTCGTAGCAGACGGATTCACTTTTCTAGACATCAAATAATCGAGTCTTATGGTGGGCAATTCATAATTCTGACTTTTTGATGTCTCTCACGGAAGCTGCTCTTAACCTGGCGTTGGGGGCAGCCTACTATCTTACCTCCCCTTACCCCATTACATATGGGAATAGGGTCAGCTAATTTTTATAGTGAAGATTTTAATTTTTTATAAGGATTAAGGGTTATTTTTATTCTTGTAATATACTCAATTTATCATTTTTACTCCTATCGTATTTTTACATCAATTTAATCTTCGAATTTGTTTAATTGCATCATTCTATACCCTACCCCTAGCTTAAAACCCTAAATTAATAACCCTAATCCCTAAACCATAGCTCATAATCTCTATACCCTAAACCTTATTTTCTAACTTAAAATTGTCGATTTAGGGTTTTAAACGAGGGGTGGGGTATCGAATGATGCAATTGAGCCACTTCGATTACTAAATTGATGCAAAAATATGATAGGGTCGAAAATGATAAATATATTATATTTTTTAAGTCGTAGATTGTGCGCGTACAATATATTTACAATAACCAACGGGTTGGTACAAGTGATAAACAACTTGATATCGCTTAAGCATGTCTCGAGTTCGAATTATTGTATATATAGAAAATCCTCGTTGGGAGACTCAACCACCACAGCTAGGTGTACAACCCGGATCGGTCGAGATTAGTCAATGCAAAACCTTGAGAATCGGAAAGCAACAAAAAAAACAATATATTTACGGTAAAAGGGATATATTTGTTTATTTGGTGGCATTAATTGTCAATTGTGTCATTGGATAGTAATATACATTTGACTCAAATCTGATGAATTTTATTTAGATTCAACTCTATAAAATCAATTTGACTCAAATCTTCTTAACATATACGGGTGTGACGTTGTTATCTCTGTTCTTGTTTATATATATATATATATAAGCACTGTAGGATGAATATATATGAAATGAAATAGTTGGTATATATTATTTGATGTAAATTATATTTGGATCCCTACACAAAATCCCATATCAGACACCAAAATCTTGAAGCCCATTCCTCGGCTTGTTATTTGATTTTGAGACGCGTTCTCTCTCTCTCTCTCGATCGTAATATTTATTTGTACGAGAAATGTTATCCTTTCTTGACCCCATTGTATGGCTGTGAAATTACAAACACCTTCTTCTTCTTCTTCTTCCATCACTATCCTTATCAATGGCCCCATTTCCTTTCTCCCCTTTATGGTTTTTGTCTTGTTATTTCATTCATTTTTCTTTCAATCTCACTCACTCAACTATTTGATTTCTTTAACTGTTTCTTTAACTGTTTCAATCAATCTCACTCACTCAAGATATAGCCATTTTAATTGAAATCAACTTACAAAAAAATAAGGTCAGATTCTGTACTCGGTCCATATATTTTAGTAAAGTTTGAGCTTTGATCATTTATCGAATAGTTTAAATAATTTTTTTTGTTTCCTTTAAGGTTGTGAAATTAAAAACTAAATATAATTGTAATATTGCATTTTGACTCCTCTATCAAAATTTATAATTCAATCGTAATCCCTTATTCTGTGTTGGATCGGTTTCGTTTTATATTTCCATCCCTGGTTATGCTTCTTTTCTTGTGATTAAGGTGATGTTTGTTTGTTTCTTAATGGAAGCATTCAACGTTGAATGCTGAACCGTTTAGTATTCAGCGCGTTTGTTTCGCACCTCTGAATGATTCAGTGATGACTGATTCAGTACAGAAATACATTCTGAATGATTCAGAGACATTATCAAACAACATGTCACATTCAGAGCTAATTCATACAGAGCCTCTGAATCATTCAACATTTGAATCATTCAACGCTTAACCATTCTAAAGTAAACAAACATCCCCTAATAAATGTTTGGTGTACTCTTTCTTCTTAGGATTTTTAACGAGACATGACCTTTGAAAATAATCAAAATGATTTAATTTTTGAAATAAATAAGAGTAGTTGGACTATAGTATAAATTCAATATTGATAATTATGAAACATTTAAAATTGGAAATTTGCCGTGGCATTGGGGGTATGTTGAAAATTCAATATTAGCCTATATGTTCACACCTAAATTAATTTGATGTCATTGCTTACATCAATTTAGTTTTGATGTCATTGCTTACATCAATTTAGTTAGGTGAAAATTAAGTATTTTTCTCATGTTTTAATTTCAATGGTTTAGATTATTTAGTGTTTATTTTAATGAGTGGTTTAGATTGTTTCTTGTAACCTATAAATACCCTACTTGTATTTGAGTTTTATCATCCAACAATCAAAGCTTAATTATAAGCATTTGAAAGCTTTCTTAAGAGTTCTTCCCTTTTGCAATTTTGTGAGATTATTCTAAAGAGAGTTTTTTTTTTTCAGATCAATTAGAGTTTTTACTCTATTTTGATTCAACAATTGGTATCCGAGCCACGTTTTTAAGATCTCTTGAAATTCTGAGTATGCTCTGTGGCTGCAGTTTTTAACTGATCTTCCACATCAGAAAATATTTCTTGAGTTATTGTCGAGGTTATTACAAACCTTGTGGAGCTTCTTTGTGTTTAGAGTAATTTAGTACTCTACACGTTTGTTACTCAAGCTTGTTCGGTGTAGTCAAAGCCTTGCCGTTAAGATGGGTGATCTTCAAGTAGTTGGAGGAATCAAGAAGCTCAACAACAAAAACTACAACACGTGGGCAACATGTATGGAGTCATACTTACAAGGTCAAGACCTTTGGGAGGTTGTCGGTGGTGGTGAAGTTACACAACCGGCGACAGAAGATGCCAATGGAATCTTGCGAAAGTGGAAATTAAAGCAGGCAAAGCAATGTTTGCTTTAAA